GTGTATTGCGACAGAGTATGTATGGAGAGATGCCAGGTGTAGCCAGGCCTGCCAGTATGTATGGGAGATGCCTGTTGTAGCCAGGCCTACAGTGTGTATGGGAGATGCCAGGTGGTAGCCAGGCATACGGCATGTATGGGAGATGCCCAGTTGCAGCCAGGCACAGCATGTATGGGAGATGCCAGGTGTAGCCAGGCCTACAGTATGTATGGAGATGCCAGGCCAGCCCACAGTATGTATGGGGAGACAGGTGTAGCCAGGCCTACAGTGGGAGATGCCAGTTGTAGCCAGGTGTACAGTATGTATGGGAGATTAGTGGTGTGTGCTATGCCTACAGTATTTATGGGAGATGCCAGGTGTAGCCAGGTACAGTATGTATGGGAGATGCCGGGGTGTAGCCAGGCCTACAGTATTTATGGGAGGCATGCTGTGTGTAGCCAGGTGTACAGTATAAAGGGAGATGCCAGGTGTAGCTGGTGGCCTATGTATTTGGTGGGAGATGCCAGGTGTAGCCAGGTGTACAGTGGCAAAAGTGGGAGATGCCAGGTGTAGCCAGGCCTACAGTATGTATGGGGAGATGCCAGGTGCAGCCAGCTCTCACAGTATGTATGTGATGCCAGGTGTAGCCAGGCCTACAGTATGTATGGGAGATGCCAGGTGCAGCCAGCCACAGTATATGGAGATGCCTACAGTATGTATGGGAGATGCCAGGTGGTAGCCGTACCTACAGTGTGTATGGGAGATGCCAGTGCACAGGCCTACAGTATGGAGATGCCAGGTGCAGCCAGCCTACAGTATGTATGATGCCAGGTGTAGCCAGGCCTACAGTATGTATGGGAGATGCCAGGTAGCCAGGCCTACAGCATGTGCGGGAGATGCCGTAGCCAGGCCTGCTGTGCATGTATGGGAGATGCCAGGTGCAGCCAGGCCTACAGTGTATTGTTCACAGTATATGGGAGACAGGTGTAGCCAGGCCACAGTATGTATGTGGGAGATGCCAGGTGTAGCCAGGCCTACAGTATGGGAGACAGGTGTAGCCAGGCCTACAGTACGTATGGGAGATGCCAGGTGTAGCCAGGCTTACAGTATGGAGCGCCAGGTGTGGCCAGGCCTACAGTGTGTATGGGAGACAGGTGTAGCCAGGCTTACAGTATGTATGGAGATGCCAGGTGCAGCCAGGCCTGCAGTATGTATGGGAGACAGGTACAGGCCTACAGTATGTATGGGGAGATGCCAGGTGTAGCCAGGCTTACAGTATGTATGGGAGATGCCAGGTGTAGCCAGGCCTACAGTATGATGCCAGGTGTAGGCACAGATGTATGGAGCTGCCAGGTAGCCAGGCTTTTGCCAGGTGTGGCAGGCCTGCTGCATGTATGGAGACAGGTGCAGGCAGGCCTGGCATGTATGGGAGATGCCAGGTGTGCAGCCAGGCTTGCAGTATGTATGGGAGATGCCAGGTAGCCAGGCCTGCATGTATGGGAGATGCCAGGTGTAGCCAGGCCTACAGTATGTATGGGAGATGCCAGGTGTAGCCAGGCTTACAGTATGTATGGGAGATGCCAGGTGTAGCCAGGCCTACAGTATGTATGGGAGATGCCAGGTGTAGGCAGGCCTACAGTATGTATGGAGCTGCCAGGTAGCCAGGCCTTTGCCAGCATGTATGGGAGATGCCAGGTAGGCAGGCCTCCACAGTATGTATGGGAGATGCTGGGTGTAGGCAGGCCTACAGTATGTATGGGAGATGCCAGGTGTAGCCAGGCTACAGTATGTATGGGAGATGCCAGGTGTAGCCAGGCCTGCAGTATGTATGGGAGATTAAAGTTGTAGCCAGGCCTACAGTATGTATGGGAGATGCCAGGTGTAGCCAGGTGTACAGTATGTATGGGAGATGCCAGGTGTAGCCAGGCCTACAGTGTGTATGGGAGAAAAACATGTTTTGTAGTCTACTATGAAAATTATACTGGCTCAGTGATAACCAAATTAAATAAACCATTCATTTTCCTACAATGACATAATAAAACACATTGTATTATTACTGGAGTAAATGAATTCTTCCCACAAACAAAAACTGACAGCCGTAGAGCCCATTTGCCTCCCCTGCCACTGATGCCAGGTGAAAATTATGATGATGGTGATAGCATGGGATTTAAGGTTTCTCCTCCTTTTTGGAAGAGGAGGCAGAGGATAGTGGAGGGAGGTCAGAGCTGGGAGTGGCCGGAGGAGGGTCGTCCATGTTGGAATCAGAGTTCGGAGGAGGAGGTGCGTGAACAGGAGGCTTGAGGCTTTCTTGTTTGGAAGCATTCCACGCAGGATGAAGGCGGTCGAGGTTGTTTGTGAGCCATCACAAGCACGGAGGACAGAAGATACTGAGAGCAGGTAGCACGCGGTAATCCGGACAAATGTTTATCCCGGACTGAGGCGTAGCGAGCTGGCTAGCCTCCTGGGAAGAGAGACACCTTGGGGTACGCCACAAAACTTGCACACTCCCCTTACCAGCCGCAAAAATGCCGGCAAACTTAAAACTATCCACAGACATTCTTGGGTACATCCAGGGTGTCATCAGCAAATAATAGAGGACCACGAAATAAAAATCAGCGAATTATCCGACGTATCAACAGTATACCCCGCTTACGCCGCTTACATATACGCTGCAATCTGCCAGAACCGAATTCCCACTTACACGGTGCATCTACTCATATACGCTGCAGGAAGTATAATTTTTATTTAGTTCATAAATTACCCGCCAGAATATAATTTACATTGCTGGAATTCTACAATATGATGATCATTTTGAATGTAAACATCATGGATTTGCATAGACATACAAATTTTAGATCTAATGCAAGAATTTTGTTTACACAGAGGGAATGTGTTATCTTTTGTTCAAAATATATGACGTGTATATTCAAAATTATTCCTGGTCTTGCAAGGAATCCAGCAATGTCAATTTTAATATCGTGAACTTTAATATGAGGTATTATTTATTACTATACTTTAAAATCTAGTCTTTTCACCCAAACATTTCAGAGAGGAGGAGCCAGGAGCAAGCGTGGGAAGAGGGGGGGTGAGTCCATTATTTGAATGGACATTAACCTGGCGACTGTATTTCTCTAAATATTAATTGTGTGTGCATACCATCATAAAATTAAGATGTTATTTACTACAACATAGGTATTGTGTCGGTATTGAGTCCAAAAGTGGGAGTTTGGGGGTCGGCTCAGTCTCTATTTCAATTAATCCCATATGTTCTGTTATTCCATTTACGCATTCGCCACGGGACCTCCAGGTTCAATTGACTGCGTAAATAGGGGTATTACTTTATACTATAATATGAACCCCATTATATCAATATGTGTACAGTTGGTGTGTATGTTGATGTTGGTGGGTATTTTATGAATATTTAATAGTAAATAAGCTTACATTGAGGTAGTAAATGATGGCTGTTTGCTTTTTAGGCCTATGTTTACTGATATGCGTAGGGCTAGGCCTTACGAAACGGTACTGGTACCATGTTAGTAGATAGAGTATGCTTAGAAATCCTGAAGGTATATGTACTGTAGTTATAATACTTTACTGTACAAGGATCTGAATGCTCCTGAATTATTTTTGTTCTTTATTGGAATATATTTGGATCACATGGTGTACATTGTTTAGCAACTAAAGTAATGTATACAAAGTACTGTACTGGATACTATATTTTTTAATATATTTTCACAAAACCTATAAGTTTCATTATAAACCTTAGATTTACACCAATTTTTATGTCAGATATGAATCTTCATGATATTTTTGTTTAGAAAATGTCGCCAAAAAGGCTATATTGCAAATTGATTTTTTTAGTGCTCAAATGACATCCTTAGAAAACCAGCAATAGACGCCAGTTACTGCCTAAAGGGTTAGGATGATGTTTCCTTCTCTCAAATACTATTGTATACATCTTTTGAATTAAACAATGGCAGTCTTTACCTGTGAAGTGCTTAACAGTGGCACAGTACATTACCTCTCGGTTGTCTCCTCAGCCATAGGATGGGATTTTATGCTTAAATTCTCAATTTCTTAAGTGTTTCCTGACCTCATTTTTGATGGTATGTAAAATGATAAAAGTGGTGCATGTTTATGATATATTGGCTATTGACGGAAAATTGCATTTATATTTTATATTAACTCTTTGATGTACAAAAAAATCAAAGTTTATTGAATTTATAGAATTGAACCATGGAAATTTGAAAAAATACTTCCCTATTATGCTTAGGGATGGCTACTACTATACCATAATATTCAATGATCCTCCTGAGCAAGGTTTTGCCCCTATTGCTCATGTAGCAGTTATTTTTATCTATTCCCCAGTAATTTAGGTAAAGGGGTAATTTCCTTAATGATTTGCTTGGTGTTCTTTCATGTAAAATCAAGCTAGAAGGTGCAATAAAAATATTGATTGAAAACTTGGCTTTCCTCATTAATGTCACATTTGACCGAAAGTTTTAAACAAGTTATACATGTAGAAATTTTTTTTCGTATATAATACAATTTCATGCATCTGGGATACTGTACTTTAGCATCATATTGAAAATTTTTCTTCAGGTTTACTCTTATATATTGAAGCATTCACAATAAATTTTATGCAAGTTCTTGCTGGAAATCTAAGTACAAGGTATCCAGTTGTTTAATATTCTTTCAAGATATATTAATGTAATACAGGATATACATAAATCATAAAATCATTTCAATCTGGGGAACTATAAGAAGAGTGAAATGGTTATAGAAATGGAAGACTGCATTTTGTTACTTACTCATCACCATAGGATATTGTAAAAGTTTTGAGCATGTAAAGTGTTCAGTGTATTATCATGTAATGCAAGTTGTTGCTCATGTATTCAATACTCTACCAGAATCTGTATGTTCACTGGCATCTCTAAGTAAACTTTATGATACTGGTTCTGGTATTCGAATACATATTTTGATGTTTGTGGCTGGTTATTTGACAAGTGGATATTCAACAGGTGTGTGAACTAGACATCATCTTCAACTTTGAGAAGGCATACTTTATGCTGGATGAGCTGATGGTTGGAGGAGAAGTCTGTGAGACCAGCAAGAAAAATGTGCTCAAGGCAATTTGCCCAGGACCTGCTGCAGGAGGTTAGTTACGGCGACACAGCCTACGAGTTGTGACTGCAAGGGCCTTCCAGGATCTTGCAGATTCATTTTGTAACTGGTTGGCTGACAGCTCTGTAGTGTACTAAAATTTTTGATGATAGAGATTTTATTATATTTTTAATAGAGAAATATGTATTTTGACAAATATTTATGTTTAATATCAGAGAATTTTGTGTAGTGGCTACTGGTTGGGGATGAATCAGCCTGCTGAAGTAGTGAGCCAACCATTTACAAAATATACCCCCAGTGACATGTCCCGGCAAACCTCAAAGGTGCCGACGAAACATTGGAAACTGTCCTTCTGGAAGTAGTCTTTTGGCTGGAATCGGTCATGACAAAGGCTTCAGCTGGTTTTTCTTTGGAAATCCAACTTTGGAAGTTGTTTTTGTAGATAATTTTTCAGACACACTTCTCCAAGGCAAGAGACTTCTTTTGCAAGAACCATGATGCTGATAACTATAATAGACTGGGCTAATTAATGAGTATAGGGATATCATAAACCTAGAAGTTATTTCTCTGGTTACAGGATGTTTAACTTTTGAGTGGGATTCTAGGGGGAGAAAGGGTATACAGTATATAGTACGTATATATTTTTATCACAAATGACATCTTGCAAATGGAGAAATACAAGGGTTCTTAAGACTGATTCTCCTGTTTGAAGTTTTAGATTTTGTGAATATATTATTTGTAAATATAGAAGTGGATGAAATATTTTTCTCTGTAATCTATCATAATTTTTAGACAACAGTTTTAAACTAGCCTTGAATATATATATATATATATATATATATATATATATATATATATATATATATATATATATATATATATATATATATATATATATATATATATATATATATATATGCAAGTAAATTGAAGCTAAGTGCTGTGATCTAGGTATATGCGATAACCATATATATATATATATATATATATATATATATATATATATATATATATATATATATATATATATATATATATATATATATATATATATATATATATATATATATATATATATACATACTAGCTCTTACCAGTAACTTGACAGACTTGCAGTTAACTAAACAAAACAAGATTTTCTATCTTTACCATTTTCATTGTTTTCCTTTTGAGAAACATTTATTTTCTATTCACTGTTTTGACAACTTTAATCTTAAGAAAAATAGTTATGATATGAGAACTGCAGATGTCATGTTTTACAAGCACTTGTGTGTATCAGAAGTAGCTGTCAATAGACTCACCATGTGGTAGCTGTCATAATTGGTCTCAATACTTAATATATGTGTGTGTGTTTAAATTTTACCAATATTTTTGCATGTTGCAAGTGAAGTGCTGTAAAAATAGTCTTGTCATTATTTAGCTTTAAAATATGTGGTGCTTGATTTTTCAGAATTTATTTGTGCTTCATAACTTGAGAATTTATTATTGTTGTATAATCCGCATACAGTACTTCCACTCGGCCAGTGTGTTGTCTTAGAATACATGGACATGTACACACACACATACCAATGCATGTTAATTAATTTTTTATTTTTACAAATGGTCTTTTGGCACAGCTATTTCAATGTTATTAGCTTAGCTTAAATTTTGTTGATAACTGCATGCTTGCATGCATGCCTCTATGTGTGTGTGTTTGTGTGTGATTGTGAGGCATCCTTTATTTTTGTGCTTTCTATCCCAAAAGCTTATATATTTTTTATGGGTAAACAGTTTACAGATATACTTTTATTATATTTATGATCTTGGTTATGTAGATTGTTTGTATTGTATTCCAGTCTGTATTCATAAGACATTCTGTAATGCCATTCATATGGAAAATATAAATATATTTTGCTGTTTTGTAGAGATGTGACAATCATTTGTCACATTAGTAAATATTCCACATCTGCAAATACACAAATACCTGTACCGTTATAACAGATTATATTCCCATATTTGTTTAATGTGGAAGGAGGTGCTCAAGTGGTCAATAACATGTTTGTGTACGAGAAACATTAGTGTTGTTTTCGAATTTACATTGTGTGTATTGATGGCACACCTAGAATCTTGTGAATACGGACCTTAGAATAACTAGAAGTGTATCATTGTTGTTCCTTCTTGTTAGTTTCTGAGTTCTTTAAAATTAGTCTTTAAAAGTCATACCTTTCATGCTTGAGTAAGATTCTGGTACATTCCACAATAATTAGGGATTTGTATCCTCCTTGGAATACCTTGGGTTTATGATCTCCCCATGAGTTCCTACTCTCCTTCATCACAGCATGAAATAGCTGTGGTATATTGCCATTTATTATTAGCCATTCTTAACACCGTGTCTAAGTTCCCGAGGACTTGGGTATGAATGACACTAGGATTTATCTGTATGCGTGTAAGTAGGAAGAGAGGACGTTGGATGACATGAATGGACAAGATAGATCGGGTATTCGGTTTCCTCTCGGTAATGATTCACATATTGATATCCCAATGTCAAGATTGAAAGCCAAGGTCATAAATATCAGGCTATTGCCTTATTTTTCAGTAAAGCACAATCAATATTTTCTGATGCCAATTAAAGTTGCTTTAGTTGCACAAATTAAGATTTTATTTATTTTTATTTAAATAAAAGAATGAAGTTGATGTGAACCTGAAAATGTCTTAATGTCTGACATCACAGTGGTGCAGTATACAGTGACAAGCTGGAAAACATAATAAAAATTGTGCATACATTTAAAAATATGCATTTGGCATTTAAGTGTTTGATGTAAAAATATGATTATATCCAGAGGTATTCAAGGCTTTAAAATGCACTCACAAGTGAAGTATTATTTGACATATAGGGTGTTTCTCCTGGGTAATACAGTATTTGTTCCTTGACTCCAGTGTTGTGATAATGATATTAAACGTTGTTCTGGCCCGACTTCTTATTGTTGCACCTGTCTTTTGACCTCTTTAATCCTTGTGTTTATCGTAAATAGTGCTTCCTTTCCTTTAATATACTACAGTTTTATCATCCTCTAATTTTCTCCTGAAAAGTATTTCCATTGAGATTGGCTAGTCAAGTGTCTTATGACATATTTTGTATTACTAATATAAGAAAGTGATCATTACACCCATCCATAACAATAGAATGCTAGTGTAGCCATTGGGCCTATTATATATATATATATATATATATATATATATATATATATATATATATATATATATATATATATTGTTATCTAGAGAGAAATAAAGTGGAGAGGAATAGACCCTGTTAATGACTTAAAAACAGTACTATAAAGTCATCCAGATGACAAACTGTAACCTCACATTATGTAACTTGTTGTTAAATACATGCATGAACCAAAATTCGACCCTTCTCATTTCACTGATCCTTAGAGGTTCCTCTTTAATAATTTGCAGTAGCTTAACCAGATGCTCGTGATGTTTTATTGGAAAGACTGAGATAAACTACCTTCATTATGCATCGGTTCAGTGGAAGATTGTGTTTGTGTTAATGGGAGGGCAGATGTGCAGTGAATGAACCTGAAAACCCTTACTTTAGCCTTCCTTCGAGCCACTGAAATGTTAGGCCACTGCCAGGTTGGCATGTATGTGTTGTTCCCTTGTTTGCTCCAAAGTTGCTCGGCAAATAACTGCAGTTGCAAGAATTGTTCCGTGTAACGAGAATGAGTTCATTATTAACCGCTGATTTTAGTTATTCTAGTTAGGTAATATACCTGACTGAAGTCGTGTTTTATTGAAGTAGCATGTAACTAAGATTAAACTTGTTTTGAATACTGTATAGTTTTTTCTTAGATTTTTTCATATATAATAACTGATTGTCAAAAACACTTGTTGTACAGTACTTGCCATTAGCACTAGATCTCCAGTTAATCCTTGAGGAAAAGACAGAGATATAGGCTCTTGACAAGAAAGAGGTCAGCCCCTTTAGGTTTATGTTTGAGGGGACTGTTGATGTATTCATGATTCATCATCAGCTGATGGTCAAGCACATCTTACTTCATAGTATGAGTTTCATATTTTTATACACTCACTGAATGGGGTACCTGAATCATATTCAGTGATTAAGTAGATTAATATGAAAGTGGCAGAAGATTGTATTTTGAACATCAGATGTTGTAATGCATCATAAATATTTCTTAAGTTTTCCTAAATGTGTCCCCCAGGCAGTACATCCTGAGGTCTCTTGGGTAGATGGGTTCCAACCCATAATGGCTAATGTCCCATTTTCTTTCAAGGATGAGGCAGTGGAGGGGGCCCTGCGCGAGATTGGGCTGTACTAGCTTGTCCAGAATGACAGACTCCTGCAACATTTCCCTCCCCTCCACCTCCCACCCTCTACTCAGTTTTCTTTTCTTGTCACCAGCATCAGTTACAGTATTTTTATAAAATGCTAAATGTAAAGCATATGATAATTCAAATTCAACCTTGATTTTGATAATATTCATAAACATCCTGGGTTTTTTCCTAAGGTACAGTGCATTTTTTTTATTCACGATTTCAAGCGCATGCACTCAATATGATCACCAGTAAAGCAGGTAGTCCTCAGAGCTTGTAACAAACACATATCTGATATCCTAAAAATAGGTTTTGTTTACTATTAATTGTTTCTTTAGTTAGGAGTAGGTTAGATTACATAATAAGGGGAAAGAAGTGTAGGCTACTGTATCAGATGAAATAGTCGTCACCTTTGAATTATTTTGTGTGTGTGTCTGGAAGTGAAATATAGATATACAGTACTGTGTAAGATCCATTAGCTCTCTCTAGGTTTAAGTAGATTATTAATTTTGTGCTAACTCGTTCACTAAAGGACAGGTATGAATGTTGTATTAGTCTAGTTATACAGAAGATATCTTATGAATTGGTTCACACCACAGAGTTCTTACAAATACAGTACAGTAGTCTGCAAGTTGAATGGTTAAAACAAAGGTGGTTATGTTATTAACTTTTATAGAATCAACTCTGTAATTCTGATAGTTTCATTGTATCCA